AGTCACGCAGCGCAAGCTTGCCGCGCTTGCTCACGAATTGTTGGGTTCTGCCTTGGGCACCACCGACCAGAGGGGGGTTGATTCAGGGGTGAGAACCGATCCGATCGAACCTGATACACACGCCCAACACTCTGATGATGCCATGGGGCCGCGCCATCCGCCGCCGCCGCGCCCTGCCCCTGGCGACGCTGCACGGTCTAGCGCCTCTGGCGCGGATGACCACGCGCTCGCGGGGCCGCGCGGCACTGCAGCGCAGCGGCAGGATAGCGATGACAGCTACAGACCTCGCGCCAAGAGGGCGCGTACGACAGACTACGCCGCCTGGCGGCGCGACGACCTAGAGGACAGCCATTGGGGCCTCAGGTACTGGAGCTACTACATCAACTGCTGGATCTACATCGCGCTCAACAACGACGAGTTCGTATACATTCGCGACATCCAGTACAACAAGTGGTTTCGCCACTGGATCCCGAGGACATCTTGGGAGACGTTCACGACGAGCTACGCGACATACGATGGCCACGGGATGTGGGGCCGCAGGTTCTACGAGAACGGCAGCGCGTAGTGAGTCGGCCGCAAGGCCCACCGCTCGAAAGGCTTGAACTTCATTATGATACAAGTTCGCCTCGAGCGGTGGCTATCATATACTTCTAGGCCTAGGCGACTTCGCTATACAACGCAAGTGTCCACACATGCACACATCTTGTGCGATAACCAAGGCAGCCTCCCAAGGGGCAACGCCAACGGGAGTCGCCATATAGAGAATTTACATACATGCAACTTATCGTGTTCATCAACGCGACCTTTCGTCTGGCCAGACATTTGCTTTGATATATAGATGCGTTTCGTAGCACGATCGTTTTCATCAACGCGATCTCAGCATGCATATTCTTTAGTGTCTAGCCCCATTGCGTTGAGAATGATCTGACAGCTGGTGGCAACACCTGCCTCGCATGGGCGAGGCAGATTACAAGTTGCTTTAACTTGCTCAGATCCTATTTCTCCGCCCACCCGTGTCTCATTCTTCTCCGCCCTCGAGTGCCGAAGCGTTTTGGGGGGCTGCCGAGGGGGAAGCGTGCTTGGCGGGGGGGGTGGCAGCTGAGGCCGAGGGGGCAGCCAAAGCGTGCTTGGCGAAGAAATAGGGACCCTGGGTGTTCCTTCTTACCTTACCTTGCAGCTGAGGCTATACTGACTTTGCGCTCAGCTGCCTGCAGGCCTGAGGATTGAAGGAGTAAAAGGGTGACGGATTCTTTTCCTCTGTTCCCGAGTCCTGCCCTCACGGGCGGGATTCGGGACGGGGGGTGTGAATAGAATCCGTGTACTACCCTCATATATACTCCATATCCTCACCTCTCCTGCGCCTGGCCGTTTGGGCTCAGGTATTGGGGCGGATCGATCATACCTTTGATCGTGCAGGAGGGAAAGACATCCATCTATCCCTCCTTCCCTCTACCAACGGATCAGGGGTTCTGTACCCTTGTACTTCAAACCCATGCACAGCGACGCGGGATATTGCGGGGGATGGCGGATATGGTCCTTCTCGTCCTCCTGCTGATCCTCCTCCTCCTCCTCCGCATTCTCATCCCGCGCCTGCGCGCGCGAGCAGGGTGCGGGCAGTCCGCGCGCAAGGCCGACGCTTTTTGTTGTTGTTCTTGTTGTTGTTGATGTTGTTGTTGTTGTTGTTGTTGCTGTTGTTGCTGCTGTTGTTGTTGTTGTTGTTGTTACTGTTGTTGTTGTTGTTGCTGTTGTTGCTGCTGCTGTTGATGTTGTTGATGTTATTGTTGATGTTGTTGTTGTTGTCGTTGTCGTTGTCGTCGTTGTTGTTGTTGTTGTTGTTGTTGTTGTTGTTGTTTTTGTTGTTGTTGTTGTTGTTGTTGTTGTGTTTCTTATTCATTTTTTTCTGAATTCCTTTTCCAGCGAACCGTTTCCACCCGCACCGCCGTTCAGCTGATGATGCTGGCGGGAGCCAAGAAAACACGAGACTTCAGCGTGAATGCAACATTCCGAAGATCCGCGAACATTGGTTGTTTTTTCTGTCGTTGTGTTCGCCCCTGTGCGCTGCTGTCCCCTTCCTCCTCCTCCTCGTCCTTTGTCGACGCTATCGCGTTAAGCGAGCTTCGTACATCGGTGGGGTATTGGTGGAGTGTTTGCGGCCTGGGAAAACGTTTGGAGATCCGTGTTGATTTCTTGGATCATCGTTTGACCCCCCCTGGCGGCGCCTCTGGCGCCCCCCCAGGCGCCCTCCGCGCGCCAAGGAGGGGGGGCTGGTGCCGACCCAATACATTCGCGCGGACCTCCTAGGGTTGATGTCTATGCTGTGAAGTATTATTTTAGGGACGGAGGTATGGACGCATGCGTGGAGACTCCGCATCCAAGAAATCCACGCGGTCTTTCGAAGGTTTATGTCAATGCCAATTCCTCTTCTCGGGACGGAGGTAGGGATCCATGTGTGGAGGCGCCGCTCGCGCGTGCACGCGCGCACCGCGCGCACGGCTTCCTCCTGCGCGCCGATGAGGTGCAGTGGACGGTCCGCGTGGTGCGGAGGCGGGGGTACGCTACGTAAGCTTCCAGACTGGGCGCCTCGGGTCATGATCGGCGGGGGATGGGTGGGGGGCGCGCGTTTGTCGTGCGCTGGTGCTTCTGACTCCCGCAGCGACGGCTGCGAGTCTGCAGTTCGCGACGTAGTTGCCAAGACAGCTGGCGCGGGAGGACTCTGGACCTTTGTTCGCACACCGGAGCCGCCCGCGGCTATGCTGTCCGAGCTATGTACGCGGCTGTCCAGTACTTCTGCATCCTCGGCCTGGGCTGTCGGCTCCATGGTCCCACTGGCCGGCGCGGGCCAGGAAAGTGCCCGCGGGCTTGCCCGAGCGTCCGCGCCTGTTGGGGAGTGAACGGCGTCGTTTTTGGCTGCCGCTGCCCCTCACTGCTCTGAGGTCTTGCTTGGGATATCCAGAATCAAACCGATTGGCGGCGCCATACCCGTACGAGCACAGGACTGGCTTTGAACGGATTTGCAAATGAGGAGCGTCGACGCACAGCACGCCGTCGGCTCGCGGTCGCCTCTGCGACCGCGCAGTCGAGGCGACACGGGCAGTGCCTCTGCACCGCCTCGTGGCCGCCCTGACCGCCGGCGAAGGCTCTCCCACCTAGTTGAATATCTGCGGCGTGCTCGCTGGACTGGGTGAGGGCCAGCCAGAAAACAGAGATGCAGGGAGGGGGGAAGGAGGAGAAAGAATACCGTCGGCAAGCGCTTCTGCATGTCTACCTCTGTGAGACACTGTCCAACATCAGAGCGCCAGTGCCATTGCGACACTTTGCCGTTTTTTTTATGGGGAGGCGCACGCTCTCAGCGCCGGCGGCGCTTGGGTCCCTTGGCCTCGCCGCCTTTGAAGACAATGGCTTCGATGGACTTCGCAGCCTGGCTCCGCGGCGCATGGTCCCAGTCCAACGTAATCGCTCCTGCCTGAAGGCAACGGTTCTCACGCAAGGTCTCAAAGCTGCGCATGATCCATGGAGTTGCACGCGAAGATCCACTTGTGGATTTCGGCCCCCTCGGAATCTGTAGTCTCGATCCTGAAGCACCGGGTAGCCGCGAACCTCTTATTCATGTCCCGGGCCCTGCCCGCCGCCACGACGATCGTCGCCAAGGCCTCGAGAGTCTTCTCTGGCTTCTCGCCCTGGGCCGCCGCGGCATCGACCTCCTGTTTCTTCTGCTGGTAGGCCACCTCGACATAGTGGTCCACGCTTCGGAGCATGGCGTCTGGCCTCTTCCCCGACGGGTGCCCTGTGTACGTTTCGTTCCTCTCCTGGGCCTGGTCCTTTGTGGTTTTGCCGCGTGCGTTGTAATCCTAGATGGCCGACCCGAGGCTCTTCGTGATTGATCACGACGTTCTCGTCCATGAGGTTGCCCCTGATGTGGTCCTCGTGCTGCAGCAGGAGGCGGCTCATCAGCCTGTTGAGCTTCATCAACTCGGTGGTGTCGTCCGCGGCCTCGGCAGGGCGTCGGTTGTCCGGGCGGGCGGCTACCAGCGCGGCCCCGAGCTCCCCGAACATGGCGGGCAGCAGGCAGTGGTGTTGGCGCTAGAAGGGCCGCTGGAGGCTGCGATGGACCTTGAGCCTGAGAACCTGCACGAAGGCGAACTGGTTGAACACTAGGCGCGGCCTGGGAACCTTGGGGCGGCCCTCCCACTTGTGGTTGCTGTGGGCCTGTGCGTCCTCCGCCTCCTCCTTTTCCGCCTCCTCCGCCGCCGCCGCCTGGGGATTGGACCTCGTCGCCACGGCATCGATTTCGCCGAACGTACTTGATGAGCGAATCTTTGCGGGAGAACGTAGCGAGACATCTGTGACATTGGGGCTTCAAGATGAAGTCGGTTGGGATCGAAAACGGGTTGGCGTCGACATCGTGCGCCTCTTTCTGGTGGATGGCGAGGCCCTTGGGCCCCCTGTACTTCTTGCCGCAGATGTTGCACTCTACGAGCGGGGCATTTCGTGCGAAGTGGCTGTTTGGTCGCCGTCTGTTGGAGCGACGTAGCTGAGTAGTCGCGTGGTGGTGATGCGAGGGACTGCATGGAACCATTGCAACAACGGGCGCGTCACCGTCGGCGCGTCGTCGAGGTTGTAGGTCTGCGCGGCTCGTAGCTGTTCTTCTCTAGACAGGGTGCTCACAACGACTGGATGTCGTGCTGGAGCTGCTTGAGGCGTGCTGTTGGTTCTGTGCTGGCGGGGCTCTCGAAGGAGAGGCGCCCGAAGATGGTGGTGCGCACGGCCAGCGTAGGGTCGTAGTTCGGCGGGGTCTCCGAGAGGCCTGGGGCGACGACGTGCTGTCACCAACGGACGCGGCGTTCCTGGAGCGTGCTGGCGACGGTGGGAATCCGGCATTTGCGGCGGACGTCGTAGTTACTCAAGTGCGTGGTATGCGCTGGCTGCCGGAGGACATGTTTGAGTTTAGATGTCTGCTAACGCTCCAGTCTCCTGAGTTCTCCTTTGTTCAGGGGGGCGACCTCGAGTGCATAGAGCGCCGCAGAGCGGACGAGGGTGACCCAGATGTGAACGCGGAGGGCGAGGCCGTAGATCCCCTTGAACGCGCGGGCCGTAAGACGGCCATGATTGGTGTTGGCCGAGGCGAGGCGATTGGTGATTTCGCCCTGATACGAGCCGTCTGGACGTATCCGGGCGCCTAGGTACTTCACCGACTTGGAGGCTTTGATCGCATGCGGCTTGAGCACTGGGCGACACATCGGGCCGCGGTCGGAAGATTCTCCAGGCGGCTGCGGCCGGCTCTTGGTGCGCAGGCGACGGCGGCGCGCTGGCTCGGCGGCTGTCTGCGCAGGGGTCGGTGGGGTCAGCTCGCACGGCTGCATGTTGATGCCAGTGGTGTTAGCCCGGATGCGCTTCTCGAGGTGGCGCATTCCGATTCCCTTGGCCTGGAGGAGGAGCTCCGTCTTAGGGATATTAACTTTCATGCCACCTTCCGTGGCGACCTGGGTGAGAAAGTCAAGGAAACGGCTGACCTGGTCGAAGTCCGCGCAGATGGTGAGCGCGATGAGGTCATCGACAAATTTCACCTGCGAGACGTCGAGTTCAGAGCAACAGTCCCGATTTAGCGAGGGAGGTTGGTGGTGCTTGTACGTGGAGAAGGCTGGGTCGTAGATGACGTGAATCGGCTCGAAGTGGGCCTCATGCGAGCGTTGCGCAATGTCTGAGGTGATGGCGTCGTAGAGATAGATAAATAGCGCAGGGCCTTCAACTGACCCTTGGCGGACGCCTTTGCCCACCACGAGTTTCTTCCGTGGCCGATTGGTGCGGGCGTCATGGATGATGTAGCACGTGCCGTCATGGAGCCCCTCGACTGCCAGTTTGACCTTGTGCGCGATAACGGGCTTTTCGAGTTGCGCCCGTATGGCCTGGCGGTCGAGGAGGTCGAAAGCCTTCTCCAAATCGATGAGGCACGCCGCGAGGATGCGGCCTGGCTGCTTGGAGAGGGCGCGGCAGTCCTTCCACCGGCGCAGCACCTCATCAACCAAGGCGATCGCATCTTCGTGCTGCGCTGCGGGAGAGCCTCGTACTGCTTGGCAGATACCTTCGAACGTAATTCGCGCAAGGCTGGCATGCATGTAATGTCGACGTACGCCTTGCCAGCATGGCCGATGATATTGATTGTGCGGTAGTGGTCCTTCGCGGAGCTGCCATCTCCCTTGGGCTTGCGGAGGCTAGCTGTCTCGCCGTGGACCGCCGTCCCTGGCAGGCGCGGAAGGCGCCCGTGACGGCGTCGGCCATGGCGTTGGACTTCAGAACTATCTTCCAAATCTCTGCCACTGCACCCTCCGAGGCACCTGTAGGGTTGTCGCCCGTAGCTGGCGGGCGCTCTTTCAAGACAGGTCCCGCCTTATGGTTCGGGAGCCCGTTGAAAACAGCACGGGCATCCGACGAGGTGAGTTCCGGGCACCAGTGCTGGCTGGATCGACTATGATAGGATCCAGTCTTGGGCGGATGAGTCTTGGGCTGATGAGCTCGTTGTAGAGAGACTGGCTGTAGAGCCGGGCGGCCGCGCGAGCGATGGCGGCGGCCTCGGGCCGGCAATGGGCGGCAGATACGACGCGACGGTCGACTACGAGGACAGTAAAGAGAATGGAGAAATGCAAGGATACTACGTACATGTATCTCGTCATCAGAGGGTCACTGACCGTGCCAAAACTTGGCATTGGTTTAGTTTGAACGACTACAACGACAAGTTTAAACGTGATTCTGGGATGCCGAGTACCTTGCCAGAGCCTCCGCCGCCGCCTACGCCGAAGGCGAGGCCGCGCGAGAAGGGCCAGGGCAAGAGTCAGCCAAACAGCTGGAATTCAAGCAGAAGAGAAGATAGACATGATAATTACTCCAGGGATCAGTACCAGTTGAACTGGAGTAACAGAGACACGTGGGATGATTTTCGTGAATGGAGGAATCACTGGCAGAGGTGACGCACTACAAGAAGAACCAGTACGACCTAGTCGATGCTGGTCCAAACTGCATCATGGAGCGGGTGCACCAGGTGTGCGCGGGCATTGTGGCCTGAGCTGGGAAATATTAGTTTACGCGGGGAACGTCGGGTTACTTCGGCCCTCCGCCCCCTGGCAACCACCGTTGAGCGGTAAAATGCTTTTTGGGTTCGCTCCGGTGGCTGTACATATGTACCGGCCAGGTGGGTTGGGGGTCGGGGCGGCTCTACGGACCCCGCCGCGGGGGGAGGCAATGCACCCCTTCCGCACCACCATCCTCTTGTCCTGCCTGCTCCTTTGCCTTGCGTGCACTGTCCGATGTACTGACTGCTTCTCTCCCGCAGCTGCAACTTTGGCTCTAGAGAAACGCAAAAGGAGCGAGCCTGCGGCGCGCGCGCGCGTGCGTCGGCCGGCGGGCCGGCCTTCTCCCTTCACTGTTACCCTATTGTATGCTTGACGGCATTTTCCCTTCTTCCCCATGTCATCTGCGGAGCCCACTGACCATGATATAATATCGGGACAGCTTGCAGGGATTATGAATATCCAGGCAAAAGACAGAGAGCTCGAACAAAAGTAAGTCTGCGTAGCCGTTTAGTTTGTCAGAGGTCAGCGCGAATGTCCTGGATCGGCGCATTGGAAAACGTACGGGTGGAGGGGGGCAGGTGGGCGGATGCGACGACAGGAGAGGGAAGGGGGCTGGAATTGGAGTTGGAGTTGGAGTTTGATTCCAAATTCCACGACGTGGTCTTACCAACGCTTCTCCAAGACCGCTAGTAGGCCTTAGGTTTTACTTCCCGTTCTACAGACCTTAGCCTTGTGAGAAGACGGGTGGAGGGATGGAAGACCGATGGAGGACGTATCCCTGTGAGAAGACGGGCGGAGGGATGGATGACCGATGGAGGGGGTGGGATGATCGGGAAAGGAAGAGGAGAAGAGGGAGGATGCTGATGATGAGGATATGGATGAGGATGAGGGGTCGGAGGATGCGGAGGAGGAGGACGAGGAGGAGGAGGCGGAGGAGGAGGAGGAGGAAGAGGAGGAGGAGGCGGAGGAGGACGAAGACGAGGAAGAGGATGAGGAGGATGAGAACCAGGAGGTGGAACACGCGGAGGAGGAGGAGGCGGAGGAGGAGGAGGTTGAGGCGGAGGAGGAGGCGGAGGATGATGAGGAGGAGGAGGAGCATAAGGAGAAGGATAAGGAGAAGGATAATAATAAGGATACGGATAAGGATATGGATGCCATGGATGAGGAAACTGTTGAGGATCAGGAGAAGGAGGAGGAGGAGAAGGAGAAGGAAAAGTAAAAGGAGGAAAAGGCGGAGGAGGAGGAGGAGGAGGGGGAGGACATGGAGTGTGGGTTTGCAGGACAGCCAGATCCAGCTGATAAAGAACTTCGACATCACGCACAAGGCCAGCTGTCCGCAGAGCCCACCCCAGCTGCGGGTGGTCCTGTTGGGAGGTGTCCCGTCTCTTCTGCCAGAGGCTTGTTCGGAGACATTTCGGGGGTTTGTTGTGCGATCCTGTCTGCCTGCGCTTGTCACTCCCTGTCCTCAGCGTCCTGTCCCCCCTGCATCTTTTCGTCCCATGTGGACCCCCCCCCCCGGCGGCGCTTCTGGCACCGACCCCGGCGCGCTCCCGCGCGCCACGGAGCGCCCAGGAGGATGAAGAGTTTGATGGGGGAGGAGGAGAAGGAAGGCGGAAGGGACGGAGATGATGAAAGGATAATGATATGGATTAGGAAGGGTCCTGATGATGATGCTGATGCCGATGCTGATGCTGATGCTGATGATGATGCTGATGATGATGCTGATGAGGATAAGTAAGGATGAGTATGATGATGCTGATGATGCTGATAATGCTGATGATGTTGATGATGAGGAGGAGGAGGAGGCGGAGGAGGAGGCGGAGGAGGAGTGTAAACATCGATCACAATATCCTTCTGACAAGCACTTGATGCAAGCACAAGATGAGATGGAATCGCAATCTTTATTCTGTACTCAGACCAAACGCGAGTAGGTGCGTCCACCCTCCCGCCCAGCTTGTGAGCCACAACGGTTGCGGGCGAGAGGAATACTGCACACAGCACGAGCGAGCGAGAGCAGCAACAGCAGAGTTAATTCTCATTACCATCCTAAATCTCACATCCCTGCCTACCTGATTTCCACAGGAAGAACGTTGCTAAAGAATGCGTAGCATTATTCTGCAGCCACCTTCGGTAATATTCAGGGATCTTCTCGTCGGCTCGACCGGCCAAACCGCCGCCCGTGCACCGAGCAACAGATATCAAGATATCACACCTTTATCCGTAAGGGCTTCGCCCCCTGCCGCCGGCCCCCTCTCTCGGAGAATGGGCCATGGAAGAGCTAAGTCATGAGGCCTTGGCGCTGTCGTGAAGCAGTATCGAAACTTCATGCGAAGCCGATTCGCAATCAGCAAAACCAACTGATCACAAGAGGGGTTACCACACCTGGCGATTGGTAAGACGTGTATGGTTTACGGGCTTGGTTACCACACCTTGCGATTAAAGGGCCGAGGGAGTTCTCGCAGTTTGGGTTACCACGCCTTGCGATGGATGTGCGTGAAGGGTGGCACCGAATTTCAGAAATGTGCCAAATCCCCTGTGTTTTTGGACCCTGACCCCGCGGATCTGCGTAAGGGGTGGCGCCGAATTTCAGAGATGTGGCAAATCCCTGTGTTTTTGGACCCTGACCCCGCGGATCTGCGTGAGGGGTGGCACCGAATTTCAGAAATGTGGCAAATTCCTTGTGTTTTTGGACCCTGACCCCGCGGATCTGCGTGAGGGGTGGCACCGAATTTCAGAAATGTGGCAAATCCCATGTGTTTTTGGACCCTGACCCCGCGGATCTGCGTGAGGGGTGGCACCGAATTTCAGAAATGTGGCAAATCCCTGTGTTTTTGGACCCTGACCCCGCGGATCTGCGTGAGGGGTGGCACCGAATTTCAGAAATGTGGCAAATCCCTTGTGTTTTTGGACCCTGACCCCGCGGATCTGCGTGAGGGGTGGCACCGAATTTCAGAAATGTGGCAAATCCCTGTGTTTTTGGACCCTGACCCCGCGGATCTGCGTGAGGGGTGGCACCGAATTTCAGAAATGTGGCAAATCCCTTGTGTTTTTGGACCCTGACCCCGCGGATCTGCGTGAGGGGTGGCACCGAATTTCAGAAATGTGGCAAATCCCCTGTGTTTTTGGACCCTGACCCCGCGGATCTGCGTGAGGGGTGTCGATATCGAGCTCCCCCAGCAATTCAGACAACGCGCCCAGGGGGTGCTAAATTTCCCGTTTGGGCCTCCCCCCCCCTCGCGCGGTCAATCAACTAGTTACAGTAACTTTTTTTTTTTTTTTTGCCGCCAGCAATGCATGTGCGGCAGCTCCCCTCTGGCCCCTCGGGCCCGCAGGGCGCGCCGCCCGGGGCAGGCGGACCGCCCCCCGCGCCCTCGCCGCCGCCGCGGTGCGCTCAGCCGAAGAGGTCGAAGTCCACGTCCTCCTCCTCCTCCTCCACGGCCGCGGCCTTCTTCTCCTCCGCGGGCGCTGCGGTGGGAGCGCTCTTGGTCATGACGGTGTCCTCTGCGGTCGCCTCCTGCACTGCTGGCGCCGGCTCCTCTCCCTCCGCCTCGTCGCTGTCGTCCTGGCCGCCTCCTCCGGGCACCCTCAGCGCCTCTGTTGCTTCTTCATGGTCTCGTCGTCGCTCTCCTGCCGCTGCTGCTGCTCCTCCTCCGCCTCCTCTACCTCCTCCGCCTCCTCTGACTCCTCTTCCTCCTCCTCCTCCTCCTCCTCCTGGTCGCCGCCCTCCTCAGGGCTTCCTCAGCGTGTTCCTGCTGCCTCCTCAAGGTCTCGTCGTCGCATTCCTGGTGCTGCGGCTCCTCCTCCTCCTCCTCCTCCTCCACCTCCTTCTCCTGGTCGCCCTCCCGCCTCCTCGTCCTCCTCGTCCGCCTCGTCGTCCTCCTCCGCCTCCTCCTCCTCCTCCTCCTACAGTAACCAGCAATAAGTCAACTAGTTACAGTAACCAGCAAGAAGCAGAACTGTAACACTGGAAACTACAA